AGGCTGTACAAGTTGCGGGACACCCAGAGCAGTGATACAAGACACTGAGAACGAAGACCAAAATAGCACCAACACGTAACATTACCATTTTGTATTGTAACCATTTCATATTCTTGTAGTGTTGCTGCGTTTTGCACCAATATAATTTAATCCGAATCCGTCGAGTCTTCTCCCTGACCAAAAACTACCACCATGAACCTTTTGGTGAGTCTGATCCATCGGTTGTGCATTTTCGTTGAAGTTCCCGAATTTTGGCAGGGTGCCTTCAGACACTTTTTCAACGTCATATAAATGTTATTCAGTTTCTTTTTTCCCGGGAAACTTACGAGATGGAGTGGAAAAAGGGGGAAAGAGTAAGTCATTTTTTACACGTCATAAAATTTGCCCATTAGTTATTATGCCTCCATCCACTCTCGGGGCATTAAGTAAGTTTCTTTTACGAATCCTTATGCGCAGCACGTATGAATGTGCAATATCCGATGCTTTTCAAGTTGACGAACAAACAGGCAAACCGTACGACACATTGTGGTGTGTTAGAGTTCGTGGCCGACGAAGGAAATATTTACGTCCCCTATTGGGTAATAAATTTGAAACCAATTCAAACTGAATTTCTCTGTAGATGCTGAAAAATCTTCTTCTAGAGGAGGGGGAGCGGGTTTCCGTTTCAAATGTTTCTCTTAAAGTGGCATCGTTCGCTAGGTTTCAGCCCCAGAGCTGTGACTTTTTGGATATATCAAACCCAAAAGCAGTGTAAGTTGTGTTCGTATCTTATTTTTCAGTTTAGAGAACGCTCTCCGGTATTTCGCGTGCCTGACTGTCGGTGACGTCATTGCCATCAGTTATAATGACAACGTTTACGAGCTGAAAGTACTAGAAACCAAGCCGGACAATGCCGTGACTATAATTGAATGTGACATGAGCGTGAGTATTCGATGATGGTAAAATAGACTATAAATGAACGCAAGTTGGAGTCCCCTTATTCTGCCTTTTGTAGAACTTTACTGAGCACCCGTCTCCAAAAATGTCATGCATCATTGCCACTTTGTTTATGGTCCATGTCGTTTAAAGCGTTACCCTATAGCGGATTTCGAAGTCAAATGCAACGAGGTATAATCCACGAACGTACTACTAATATTGATGAATCTTGATAAAAAAAATATATATTCCGCGCCCTTAATAAACGGGTTTAACTTAGAATGGGCTACTGACTAAAATCTAAAAAGGTAATGCACTTGTAACACTAAGCCAGACGCACGGATTCATGATTGAGATGCTATTACCCTTATAAATCATGCCGTGCTATGCAATAACTTATCCCAATTCCATCCTCACTAGCCCAAGCCTGTTGCCAAATGGCGTTTTGATTATTTTTTCTTGGAATAGATGGCAAATCAATCAATCAACCTCTGAATGTGGGACAGTAAACGTGAAAAATCTCACGGAGATGTCAGCAAGCTTCTTGGGACTTAGGTGACTCGCCACCCCAAGCTCCATGGCTTAGGTTGCTGGTTCCAACAGCTGGTTTTCGCGACCATCGGGTCCACCCCCAAATATTTATAAACAAAGCTTCTCTGGCGCGTACATTTCTCTCTAAAATATCTTATAATTCACCTGGGAGAGTTAATCAAAAACCCTGATCCCAAGCCAACCAAGATGAGGCGTAGGAACCACACCCACACCTTTTCGGTTGTGGCAGTGGTCACCAGTTCGATGGGCATTGAGGTGTATTGCGCACCTTGGACGTTTGAACCCCTTCCGAAGGACGAATGACCCGATGAACTGGACACCGGCTCCTAATGGATTGCAATTTTCGCACACCGTTCCGCTACCTTGCTGGTCAGGCTTTGGCTAACCGAAGGCTCCGCTTGTGGATTCCTTAAGAAAATCCACCTGCCTTGGCCCGGACAACCTGGCAATATTCAACCCACATGCAAATCATGGAACGCTTTTTTCATAAAGATCATAATACCATGATTTGTTTGGCACAGTCTGGCGTCAGACGTGTGTGAGATATAAAATATATATAACTAATGGAGAAGAAAACAAAACATTCCGGCCCCCAACGTCAGCTCACAGAAAGTCTTAAGAAAGACCTTTAAAACTGGTTAGCCAAATTAATGGTGAAATGAATATCTCTGCTGCATTGGTGGCGAAAAACTGTTCCAGCTAATATGCTAGTGGAACAGTTGAAAGGTTCAGCTGGTTTGGCGCTATTTAGATTGCCTCTTCTGTGGAAGCTAAAGTGCTATGTGTTATATGCAGCTGTGATGAAAGAAAAGCAGCGGAACCTTACTCGCTTTTCCCGCTCCTTTCAATGTAATGTCGTCCCAATTTTTAACAAGGAACTCCACAACGATTGTGCGAACCGCCGTGGAAAATGTTTGATCTCAATCGTCATTAAAGTGTTAGTCTCCGTCATGCTTTGATGTCTGACGCCTGTAAAAGATACTCATATCCTTGCTGAAAAGGTCGGACTCTGACCTGGTCACTTCGTATTTGGTTCCCAAGGTGTTCCAAGAGGGTAACCAAAATCACCGCATAAATGTGCATCGTTCTTCAAACTGAACTGATTATACCGTACATTATGCATGCCCCGCTGTAGTCTACCGCACTGTGCATTGTTTTCAGCCAACGCTTCAGGTTATAGAAAATCTCGTGGAGGTCAACACAGGGTGTGGAGAAGAAGCGTAAGTTTTTATTCACCTTCATCGCCTTCCTTTGAACCGTGCCACCGCGATCCAATTTTATTGGTAGACGGCCTCGCTATCGTCTGGTTCAATAGCACTCTTGGCCTAACCGGGCCCTATAGGGTTTACCGCTCGAAGTCCCTGAACTTGGTTTTACATCAGTAAACCGCAGGTTTTCTCGAATATGGAGTTCCCACCGTCTGCTGTTCATCACATGGTTATGTATAATAAAAAGAATGGTTCAGGTAGATAGGGTATTTCTCACCTTACAGGTTGGGATCCATTTGACCAACTGGTTAGTTGGACACTGAAGGGCATGATAGCGAACTACGGCACTGATCTTGTTTTATATATATAGTTTCCAGTTGTTCAATGAGTTTGTTTGTCAAAATCTATTCACTTTTCATAGAAAGGTTACCATTTTGAAGGTACCGTTTTTCTTTTCAGGTAGATTTCGCTCCTCCGGTTGGATACGACTCATGGAGCAAAACGAACGCAAAGGGAAAATCGGAGAAAGAACAAAACAAGGTTCGTAATAATCGCTTCAGTTTTTAAATTGCCATTTAAATTGACGTCATCACAAGACGTAGTGCGAAAGAAACGAATGTAAATGAGAAAGTATTCACTCTATTAGAATTAAACGAGGTTCGGAATGTATCAATAGGAGAAACTGTGAACTATATGATGTGATATATGGGGATATGTATTTGTCATTAGTGCACGACTGTAGATAGTGGTGAGGATAAGGCAACATCAAGGTTATCAGAGGTAACCTTTGTTAAAGCTATTTTCAATCGATGGAAGTATTCTGTATTAACCGGATCAATGCTTGACTCTTGTTAACTCAAGATCACATCGGTGCTTTTCAATGACCATATTAGCGAATTCATACGGCTGATCTTAACGACATGAGACTGGGAAATATAAAACAGTAACAGGCACATCCACACGGTAAGACGTGAAATGCCGTCAATATATCCAGTTGGTCGTTTAAATATTACTATTCGTTTCAAAGAATGCTTTTATTTTTTTAAAGTTTTAAACGAGAACGTTTTGGATGTGCATACCACTGCCGATATTTTTCTCTTTCAGCTTGAAGAAGAAGATCGCATCGTGGTACCGGATAGTGAACACAAGTTTCAGGTATATTTTTTTGCGTGGAATGCGAGACGTTGAAGGTTACTGTTACACGAATGATGTGTCAAAGCATAAGCAGTTTCTTGTGCAAATGAACTATCGATAAAAGTGTACAGGGTATCACTATAAGGAAAAACGACTTGATCGCTAAGTGGAGTATTTGAGCGAACAGTTTGAATGGTATAGTGCTAGCACGCTCATTCCGGCGGTTGCTGCGAGAGCTCCGTGCACGGTACCATCTGAGGCACATACAGAACTAGGAGTACGTTATTGCACTCAATCTGTGAAAAATAAAGGAGCAGGATCTGGTGAGCTTCCCTTCATTCTTTACATGGTGGAGGGTGAAGAGAAGGGTGATTTTGTCCTCGACTCTGCTACCACTTTACTGCTCAGCATTCGGTCGGTATGGGATGTCCCTCATCTTGGGAGCAATGACTTATTGCTCCTGTGTTCAAGGAGGGATCGCGCAAGCTCGTGGGATTGGTTCTATACTGATCATAAGAAAGCTGGCTTCGGTGATCCTTCGCCGCATAGCACCCTCAAGGACGGTAATTCTTAGAGGATAGCGAACAAATTTCCGACCAGGTCGTGTTTATATTTTTACCAGGTCTTCACATTTTGTCAAGTCCCCGAG